GGGGAGAAGTAGATGGGAGGTGCAGCCTCTGGCAAAATGCTCGGTCTTTGAGTTAGCCGGGCTCCCTACCTGTGGCCCCACCCTACTCCCTGAACACCACCACCGATTAACGTGCATCCCCTTAATTGTGAGAGGTATCTATGCTTGCAGCGTTCCCCTGTATAGGCTTAGGAGTAGTGGTAGGTAGATAATGAAAAGTGAAATTGAGAGAGAGTAATCAGGGAAAAAAAACGAAGAAATAAGCAGGGTTCCAGTCAAATGGAAAGTCCTCTCGCAGTCCTCTAGTTGGTACCGGTCCCTACCATAGAAGGTTCCAGTGGGTAACTATAAGAATAAAAATTATAAGAATAAAATTAAAATTTTCTTCAATATTTATCATTAGAATAGTATAGCAATTAGCATGAAAAAAACCGAGTAAAAGCACAAATATCTTGAGACAAAAAGAGTAGCTGTTATTTTGTAGATAAGACTAGTACGGGAAGTGCGGCAGTACTGTAGGACCTTTCACTCATGCCTCGTCCATTCTTGGGACACATCTGATACGTCCTTTGGGATATCCTTCTGAGGCCCCTTTTTGCGGGCTCGGGATGGAAACGCCGTGCGGCGTGCGCGCGCCAGAAAAAAAGGAACCGGTGCTCCTTTTGGCTGGCACTGCCAGTCATTTTGGTCAGGTGGCCGGGTCCTGAAAGTTGCCGCAGCATGCAAGCCACAACTTTGAAAAAATGGCTGGGAAACCTACTGGTGATTTAAAACTGGAACAATACACAGAAGAAAATAAGCATGGTGGATTAAAACTGGTAACAATACACAAACTGCCATTTCATCAAAATGGACATCTTTTATTTTTTGAACGAAATTGAAACCGAGTTTTTTGCCCAAAACTCGTCAAAATTTGTTGTCCCTGAGGGTCCGGCGTTTGTAAAACACTGGACCCCCTGGCTGTACATGGACCTAGCTTGAGACCAGGTACCTCCAGGCAGTCCTGCCTGGAGGTGCCTGGTCTCAAGCTAGGTTCATGTACAGCCAGGGGGTCCAGCTCAGGAACAGCAAATTTTGACGAGTTTTCGGCCAAAAAACTCGGTTTTGCAAGGAAAATAAGCAACAGCGAGATGACAATTCCAGATCACACCATCACATTGCAAGCCAAATAGTCACACCGTGTCCAGAGAGCAGCATTGCACCAAATATACACCAATGGAGGTTCGTAGCACTGAAAACCAATGTTCATGGAGAGCATACTTTCTCCTCCCAACACAAGAGTCCAGTTCCTTCACACTCACACTTGGCGCTCCGCGCCCAGCCTACTCCTACACAGCTACTACAGACTACAAAAAGACAATGCAACTGTTGACATCAGTGGCAGCCCGAAGTACTTGAAGATGTCGCCGGCATGCAGACCATCGCCAATACAAGGTATGTGCCCTCATCATCATCATCATCATCATCCTTTACCTATCCCCTGACTACACCCATGTCTGTCCTCTGTTTCACCCGAAGACCACCCCTGCGCTTCACTGTAGTCCAAGCCCACCAGCTATGGTGGCTGGGCTATGGCGCTGCCCTCAGCAGCGCCCTTCTCCTCTGCACGACCGCACGTGCTGCACCTCGCCTCTCAGCGCCAGCCAGCAGCCGCGAGCCTTTGCTCCAGCAGCGCTGCCGCTAGCATGCGAGTGCCTGAATGAGGCTGCCTGGCCAGAGCTCTTTCCTTTATGGAAAAGAGCTGGCCAGATCTCGCAGACTGGCTGGGCTGGCCTGGGCCCAGAAGCTTCCAGAAGGCCCCAGGAGGCTGCCTGCCTACAGCAGCTACTGGGCTGCTGGGCCTCGTTTGGTTGGGCGCCCAACTGTCTCTGTATGAGGCTGCGAATCACACCCAGGGCCTGCATTCTTTGGAAAGGCCCGGAGGCCGTGGAAATATCTTTGTTGATCGGCCTGTGTTTCTTTCAACCAACTGGCACGTCGCAACTGCCTGGACCCCAAATATGAAATTGACAGTCGAGGGCCTCTTGCAAAAAGCCAGGCCCGCCTTCACTTAGGGCGGGCACCTTCGCCTTCACTTAGGGCGGGTAATGCTGCAAACAGGGCCCCATAGGCCTACCGAGGACCCTGATCCTCGCAGTTTCAATTTCGTTCAAAAAATAAAAAATGTCCATTTTGACGAAATGGTCTGTGACAGAAGAAAATAAGCATGGTGGTTTAAAACTGGTAACAATACAGAGAAGAAAATAAGCATGGTGGTTTAAAACTGGTAGCATGGTGGTTTAAAACTGGTAACAATACAGACTCTGAGAAGAAAATAAGCATGGTGGTTTAAAACTGGAACAATACAGAGAAGGAAATAAGCATGGACCGTGTGCAAGGATGACAAACATAAACCAGAAGGAGAGGGGGAAAAAATCTGACTTGTGTCTACTGAAACAATTGCTTCTGTATTGGTAAGAGGTGGTGAGGCGGTTGTACTATACTACAAGGTAGGCAAAATATAGGTAGAGGGTAGATAGGGTAGTGGTGGTAGGAGGTCGCCTCGAGCAGGGGAGGTTTCAGGGAATGGAACCTGCAGGTGAAAGCCTGTAAGCTAAGCTGGATGATGCTTCCAGTAATTTTCCGGGAGTTATGTTGAGGTCCCCGGCCTCGAGTTTGTGAAGTAACGGCAGTTTGAATCTTGAGGGGGGGCGGGGGAAATGACATTTGCGTCTCCTAAAATACTAGGGGGCCTTGCCACACCACTCCTGAATCCTGAATCCTGAATCCCGAATCCCGGCCTTGATTTTTCAAACTAATGAAAGTTTGAACCTTGAGGGGGGGCGGGGGAAATGACATTTGTGTCTCCTAAAATACTAGGGGGCCTTGCCGCACCACTCCTGAATCCCAAATAATGATTTGCGAGTGCTCTCGAATTGCGGAGTTCCAGCAGTGCCCTTCCAATGTCCACTTGTTCATCACAATCGCTCTCCGACCGGGCACTCTCAAATTCTGTTTCGAACTCCGACGTAGACAGAGAAAAGCAGTCTCGAGTTGCGGACGTAGACAGAGAAAAGCAGTCTCGAGTTGCGGACGTAGACAGAGAAAAGCAGTCTCGAGTTGCGGACGTGGACAGAGAAAAGCAGTCTCGAGTTGCGGACGTAGACAGAGAAAAGCAGTCTCGAGTTGCGGACGTAGACAGAAAAGCAGTCTCGAGTTGCCAACGTAGACAGAGAAAAGCAGTCTCGAGTTGAGGACATAGGGCCTCACTCCACTACTCTCGAAATGTGCAAAACAAGAGCGAATCTTCCACTAGAACATGGAAAGGTACTCCGCCATGATTTTTGTCTTTTGTGCATGTCGAGAGTTACTGTAGTGGAGCGACACCCATAGACAGTGAAAAGCAGTCTCAAGTTCCGACGTTGTCAGTCAGAGAAAAGAAGTCTTGAATTCCACCACCTACAGAAAAATGCTTTTCGGGAGCGCAGTGTGGCAAAGCCTGCGCTCTCTCGAAATCAGGAATGGGCCTAGCAAAGTGGACCAGGGACAGGGAGGCGCCCCAAATTCGAGAGCACTCCAGAACACTAGACACCAACAACCTCTCAACGTTCAGGCAGAACTTGGCTCTCCATCCCAAGTCTCTCCAATCGGCAGAACTCGGCACTCCCTTGGAAGGGCCTCGCCACACCCCTCTCGAAATGTGAAAAGGACAAAAAATCGGCGGGTGCATCTGGCCGTGTTCTAGCGGGAAGTTCATTCTCATTTTGCACATTTTGAGAGTAGAGTGGTGTGGCGATGCCCAAAGTCTCTTGAATTTCGCTCACTGCAGGCTGAGGCAGAATTGGAGTTCCAGAGTACTCTCGAGCCAGTTGTCAGGAGTCCACTCTGACAGCTCCCGGACTTGTTTTCGGGAGTCAGACTCAGGAGCATGTATGGCGACGCTTAGGGCCTCGCCACACTACTCCGGACCTGGAGAAAAAATTCGGGAGCACTCCCGAGTGTCAGAAGACTCAAAAATCCACTCGGGAGAGTGCTTCACCATACTCTGCTCCCGAAACCACCACTCTCGGAATCTAAGATTGGCAGAAGGCGCGTTCGGATGGAAAACGATAGGGATAGTAACTTGTCCTACACGAATTAAATTTTCCGTTTCAGACTTCAGGAGGGTTCGGGAGGGTTCAGGAGGGTTCGGGAGTTCTAGAGCCCACCGGCCGAGGTCTCCCGAAAGCACACTATTGCAGGCTGGAGGAGAAGAGGATTTTGGGAGTGCTCTCAGGAGCCACATTCTGACAGCTCCCGAATTCAATCTGACAGGTTGAACTCCGGAGCTGGTGTGGCGACTCTGCACTGAGTCTCCCGAAAATTGCCAAGTCGGGAGTAGTGTGGCGAGCCCCTTAGTGTCAGTGGTCCGGATCCACTTCTAATCGCTGAGTTTGTGCTCGATGTCAATAGCGAGCGCACTCCTTTGAGATAACTACAAGGGAGTGCGGTGTTGAGTTTCAAATTCGCAAAAATAACAGGCGACTGCAACTTCGGGGAGAGTGCACAACGAAACTGCAAAAAAACAGTTTCTGTGCACTTCCTCCCGGTTAGAAGTTTGAAAATGACAAAATCAGGTGCGCACCCACTTCAAGGCCTGTCTGGGGCGACGGGCCCAGATGAGGTGGGGCACGCGCCTTAGTGCAACCATCAGCTTGAGATGCCGTTTTTGAATACTGGCGGCAACATTTCATGGGAGGTGCCGTAGCTCCCACCGTGCAGACATGTTGTCGTGGGAGAAAGTGGATGGAGAAAGGCCGTGGGGGGGAGGACGAGGAGGACTCCGAGGAGGAGGAGGAGGAGGAGGAAGAGGTAGAGGACACGGAGGATGACAAAGAGAGAGGTGAGAAAGAGGGGAGGTAGGCACGGAGTTCTCATGGAGGACAAGGGGGGGGACTAGGAAGAGGAGGAGGAGGACGGGGAGGAAGAGGTGGAGGTCAGAGGAGGAAAAAGGGTGGGCTGGGGAGGTGAGATGGCCCCCACTGCGGCTTAGTGTCTGCGTTTCAACCCCGCTACGTCGACTATACACACACACACACACACACACACACACACACACACACACACACACAC